AGAACCTAACTTAATAATTTCTGCAATAAGCCCATAAGTTCTGGTGTCTATAACCCTAAAATTGTTCTAGAATGTGTTGCTGGACGGGATGGAGCAGCCACTGCAAACCCCAAGATTGAACTAGGGAGCAGGGAACAGGACCCAAAAGAAACTGGAATGGGCCTGGGAGCAGGCCAGGATCCCTGAGACTGTCCTTTCCAGCTTGGAGCCAGCTGTCTCCCCTGTTCTCCCACCAGCCAAGTTGCAGTATCTCCCCTCACTCCCTCTCCTCTCCCTTCACCCCTCCCATTCACAGGGAGCTTCTGCCTCTCTCCAGTATGGGCTGAGAAGTCTTCAGAAAGGAAATCTGGAAATAGGCAAGTTCTGGAGAGAAGGCTTGGCCTGGATTTTGTGTCATTTTGAGTTCCTTTTGTGAATAAAACCAACCCACAGGAGGTGGATAAGTTTTGACCTCATTACAACCAGAATGAACTGTTTAAAAGCAAGGTGGAAGAAATTCGTGTTGTGGTTTTGCCTTCTGTTTAGACCAGGGGTCGGCAACGTTTGGCACACGGCTCGCCAGGGTAAGCACCCTGGCGGGCCGGGCCAGTTTTATTTACCTGCTGAAGCGGCAGGTTCGGCCGATCGCGGCCCCCACTGGCCGCGGTTCGCCGTCCTGGGCCAATGGGGGCGGCGAGAAGCCGCAGCCAGCACATTGCTCGCCCGTGCCGCTTCCCGCCGCCCCCATTGGCCCGGGACGGCGAACCGCGGCCAGTGGGGGTCGCGATCAGCCGAACCTGCCGCATCAGCAGGTAAATAAACTGGCCCGGCCCGCCAGGGTGCTTACCCTGGCGAGCCGCGTGCCAAACGTTGCCGACCCCTAGTTTAGACCGTAAACTAATATATAGGGTGATGGCTTCCCCTCTGTTCTTCTGATGGGTATATATGAACTAGAGATCCACTTGTACTGAAATTAGACACTCGTGTGTGCCTCAACTGTACCCTTCTCCAAGATTGATAAAAGTGTGGTAAACTCTTGCAGTATTTGACATTTTAGCTCCTGGAGTCATGCAATTATATGAGAATCTGTTTTCATTAAATAAAAATGGATGGTTCTAGCCCTCCTGATTGCAGAGAAAAGCTTGAAGAAGCGCACCCTATCAGCTCAAAAAACCTAAGGCAAATCAAAACAATTCCATTTAAATATCATGACTTCTGAATAGAGCTGGTTGGAACATTTTCCGCAAAATGTTGCACAGAGACATATGAGTTTCAAAGACGGGGGCGCAGCAAGGGGGAGACTCAGAATATGTCTACAAGTGCTACAGTAGCATAGCTAAAGCTACACTGCTGAAGCACTGTAGTGTAGACACTTACTACAGCAACAGAAGGGATTTTTCTATCAATGTACCGTAAGTAATCTCCCTGCCCCTCCCAAGAGGCAGAAGCTATGTTGATGGAGGAATTCTGGTATAAACCAGTTCTTACTGGCTTTCTCATGTGGGGGTTAGGGCACTAGGGAGGAAGACAAAGGTTCAAATCCCAGAGTGATCTGGGATGAAACCCTCTGCCACACATCCCCACACACTTCCCTAATTGAAAAGCTCAGGTTTCAATCTGAAAAGAGACCTGGTAGTAATGGGGGACTCTTAACCACGCAGACATTTGTTGGAACAGTAATATGGCAAAACACAAATTTTCCAATAAGTTCTTGGAATGTATTGGGGACAACTTTTTGTTTTAGAAAGTGGAGGCGGTAACCAGGGGACAAGTCATTTTAGACTTGAATCTCAGCAACAGAGAAGAATTGGTTGTAAATTTTGGTGGTAGGCAGTTTGGGTGAAAGTGATCATGAAATGATAGTTTTCATGATTCTAAGGAAAGGAAGGAATGTGAACACAGAATAAGGACAATTGACTTAAAAAAAGCAGACTTTAACAAACTCAGAGAACTGGTATGTAAGGTCCCGTGGGAAGAAAAATCTAACAGATAAAGGAGTTAAAGATACCTGGCAGTTTCTCAGGGAGACAACAGTAAAGGCACAACTACAAACTATCCTAATGCAAAGGAAACATAAGAATAGGAAAAGGTCAATATGGCTCTATTAGGAGCTCTTTTAAATCAAAAAGGAATCCTACAAACTGTGGAAAAATGGATAAATTGCTAAGCAGGAGTACAAAAGAATAGTACAAGCATGTAGGGACAAAATCAGAAAGGCCATAGCACAAAATGAATTACACCTAGCAAGAAACATAAAGGGCAATAAGAAGATCTTTAAATACATTAGGAGCAAGAGAGATACAAAGAAAAGTGTATGTTCTCTACTTATCAGGGAAGGAAAGCTAATAACTGATGATATCAAGAAGGCCGAGGGTGCTTAATGCCTATTTTGCTTCAGTTTTCACTAAAAGGGTTAATGGTGACCAGATACTTAACACAATTAATATTAACAACAAGGGGGAAGGAATGCAAGACAAAATAAGGAAAGAACGGCTAAAGAATAGTTACCCTGTTTCCCCGAAAATAAGACATCCCCCGAAAATAAGACCTACTTCCAGTTTTGCCTCTCGCTGTAATATAAGACATCCCCCGAAAATAAGACCTCCCCGATAATAAGGCCACCCCGGAATATAAGGCCCCGAAGCTCCAGGAAAAATAAGACCTCCCCTGAAAATAAGACCTAGCGCATCTTTGGGAGCAAAAATTAATATAAGACACTGTATTTTCGGGGAAACACGGTAGATAAGGTGGATGTAGTCAAGTCGGCAAGTCCTGATGAAATTCATCCTAGGGGTACTTAAGGAACTGGCTGAAGCAATCTTGGAGTCATTAACAATTATCTTTGAGAACTCCTGGAGGACAGGTCAGATCCCAGAGCACAGGAGAAGGGCAAAAATAGTACCTATCTTTAAAAAGGGGAACAAGAAGGACTTGGGGAACAGTCAGCCTAACTTTGATATCTGGGAAGATACAGGAGCGAATTATTAAACAATCAGTTTGTAAGCACCTAGATTACACAGAATTATAAAGCATAGCCAGCACGGATTTGTCAAGAACAAATCATGTCAAACCAACCTAAATTTCTATCTTTAACTGGGTTATTGGTTTAGTGTCTTGCATGGAAGCAATAGATGTGATATATCTTAATTTAGTAAGGCTTTTGGCACAGTCTCATATGATATTCTCATGAGCAAACTAGGGAAATATGGTATAAATGAAATTATTATAAAATGGGTGCAGAACTGGTTGAAAGCCTGTACTCAAGGAGTCATTATCAATGGTCTGCTGTCAACCTGGGAGGCAACAGCTAGTGAGATACCGCAAGGGTCAGTCCTGGGTCTGGTACTATTCAATATTTTTATTAGTGATTTTGATAATGGAGTAGAGAGGACACCAAGCTGGGTGGGTTGCAAGCACTTTGGCAGACAGGATTAGAATTCAAAGCAAACATTGACAAATTGGAGAATTGGTCGGAATAAAAGATTAAATTCAATAAAGACAAGTGCAAAGTACTTCACTTAGGATGGAAAAAAATCAAACACACAACTGCAAAATAGAGAATAACTAGTACCGCTGAAAAGAATCTAGGGATCATAAATTGAATACGAGTCAACAATATGTTGCAGTTGCAAAAAAGGCTAACATAATTCTGAGATCTATTAACAGGAGTATTGTATGTAAGGCAAGGGAAGTAATTGTCCCACTCTACTTGGCACTAGTGAGGCTTCAGCTGGAGTAGTGTTCAGTTCTGGGCACCACACTTAAGGAAAAATGTGGACAAATTGGAGAGTCCCCAGGAGAGCAACAAAAATGATAAAAGGTTTAGAAAACCTAACCTATGAGGAAGGGTTAAAAGAACTGGACATGTAGTCTAGAGAAAGAAGACTGAGGAGGGACCTAATCATCTTCAGATATATTTAGGGCTGTTATAAAGGGGACTATGATCAATTGTTCTCCATGTTCATTGAAGATGAGCTTAATCTGTAGCAAGGGATATTTAGGTTAGATATTAGGAAAAACTTTCTAATTATAAGAATAGTTAGGCTCTGAAATAGGCTTCCAAGGGAAGTTGTGGAAACCCAATCATTGGAGATTTTTAAGAACAGGTTGGATAATCACCTGTCAAGGAGGGTCTAGATTTACTTGCTCCTGCCTCAGTGCAGGGGGCTGGAGTTGGGGACCTCCCAAGGTAACTTCCAGCCCTACATTTCTATGATTTCAACACAATTTTATTTCCTCAAAAACACTTAAAGGTTTGGGGGGCTTTTGTCTGTTCCAATGTGGAACGAAACCAAATTTCAAAAGTTGCCATGCCGTGGAATCGTTGCCCTCCGCTTGGTGCCACCCTGCCCCCTCTGAGGTACAGCAATCCTGGAATGAACCAGCCCACAAAACTGGCCAACTGGCAACGGGTACTGAGCACCTTTACAGGTTTCCCAGAACAGTTACCTCAGAAAAGGCACAAGCCTGGGACAATCAGGGCAGGTGGTACTGGCAACCCCATGCTGTTGGGTGGGGGTCCACGCGTGGGTAAGCAGGGGGCTGTGCCAGCTCTCCAGGGTGATGGGCACAGAGGGCCATGAGGCCTTGGATGGGGAGAGTGGCGTATGGCGCTGAACCCTGGGTTTAACTCTCCCCTGAGACAGCAGCCTCCCCTCCCCCAGGGCACTCTGTTCCCCCACCGTGCCCCGATCCCGGGGGGCCGGGAAGCAGAACGTTCCAAAGCGCAACGGCCACGCTCGCGCCTCCCGGGGGCCAGTCTCTAACCGCCCCGAAGCTGAAGGAAGGCGACGGTGTTGTTCCAGGCGCGCGCGCGCGCTGGAGTCGACGTAGGCGTAAGAGCGTCAACCGGGACCGCTGTGTCCAATCAGCGGGCGGCGAATGGGGGGTGGAGGAGGAAAGCTGGGTAATGTTGTTGCGAGTCACCTGATTCTTATCGCCGCGGGTTAGGGCAGCCGAGCCCGGGACTCAGGGCTGGGACGGGGGAGGAAGCCCCTGTCCGGCTGGCCGAGGGTGACGGTGCTTGCGGGGCCGGCGACAGACGAGCCGGGGGGTGCTGGGGTGAGCCAGCTGCGGCGCGCGGGGGTGGCAGCGGAGGGGGTTGGTGCGGCTGGGCTCGCGCAGGGGCAATGAGCGCCGGTGTCCCGCGCGGCGGCGGCGGCGGGGGGGGGGGGGGGGGGGGCGGGCCCCCGGGGGGGGGGGGGGGGGGGGGGGGGGGAGTGGGTGTTCTCGTCCTGGGTACCGGTCACTCGCTGTGTGCCCCCCGTGCGCGCGGGGCGGGGGAGGCGGGAGCACGCGCTGTCCTTAGGGGACCCCAGGTCACGCCGCTCTGCGAAGCGCTTGGAGATCCGCTGGGGCCGGCCCCAGCCCGCTTCTCCTGCCTGCCCGGGGGCACAATCCGCGCCCCTCCTCGCTGGGGCTGCGGGGTGCCCCGTCCGTGCGCCGCGTCTGGAGGGGAGCTCGGTGGGCAGAGCGGAGGCGGGAGGGGCCGTGTCTTCCCCTGGTACCCGGGCAGAGCTACGGCCAATGCTCGGCCCGTGACTGCCCCGGTCAGGGGTTGCCCCGGACAGTTAAACCGGGGGGAACCGTGCGGGGCCGAGCGCTAAGCTGTTGCTTGTTAGCTCGGCGGGATGAGCAGCTCTGCGCAGCCGTCGGGGCCCGTGTAGGGAAAGGTAAATAGGAGCTGTCCCCTCTCTCCGCCCGCATGGCTTTGTGTCCTCAGGTTTTTCCACTGAACTCTGGCAGATAAGAACAGCTGGCTTTGGCGCGGTCAGCACGCCGCTTGCTCTCCTGCAGAATCTGGCATCTAATTATTCATCTTTTCCCTTCTGCATATCCACATGCCTGTGTGCTCCAGGCACATCATACGCCCCCAAACACTGGAAAATCTCCGCCCTCTTTAAAACAAAGGATCCCCTTAATGTTACTAATTTGGGATTAACTATTTGGTTTTGATGATAAAATATCCTATACAAATCCTAAATCTGAACATTACAGTATCTGTCATCAGTTGTAGTAGCCCAGGAGGATTCATTTTAGACTTTCCTGGGGAGATGTACATTTTATCTGTACTGTGAGATGCCTAGCATGTGAAGGGCAATGTAAAATAAAATTGAAAATGAGAATTATGGAGGAATCATCACCAATTTCACTGTTAAATTAGCATTTAGAGGACATATATTGGCATTTTTAACTCTATAATATTGTAGTAATTTCAAATTCATACAGCACTGCAGCTTTCTAAGTGCTAGAGTCTTATTTTGTCATTTTTTCTTCTGTTGAAATTGGTTCCAAAACATATTACAGGATGAAAGAGAAAATAGTTTGAGACACACATTTGAGATTTGTGGATGAAAAGTAAGAGCATGGTGGTAGTGTTATACGGGAAAGTTATAGTCCATGCCGGGGAACAACCTCAAGTTATGCTTACACAACTCTCTGCAAAGAAAAACCCAGTGAAGGCACAGGTCTCAGAGCCCAGGCTCCAGCCCCAGCAGGAACACTCACATTACTATTTTTAGCCCTGCAAGGTGAGCCCTAGTAGCTGGAGTCAATTGACCCAGGCACTGCAACTCAGCACAATAGATTTCTTTGCAGCGTATGCATACCCTAAGAGTGATTATGCTCCCCTGAACTCTGAAGTAATGCTGTAGTTGTCTGTTCAAAATCATTGCCATAGTCAAAAACAAACATGGGTTTGAAATTCCTTTAGCACACTTAATTCAATATAAATTTTCATGCTTTTGTGGGTTTGTCGATCTTAATATTGTTTTAAACTGTGTGTGTTTAAATTTCTAGGCTCCAATCCTGTAAACAGTTGTGTATGTAAGTAATTTGGACTATTCATGTGTACAAGTGTTTGCAAGATTGGGGACCTAGTTGGTACATTGTTTGATGCTAAACAGTTTCAAGCACTTCATAATGGGGATTTTTAGGCTATGTTAATTTGGTTTTAGTATAAAGTATCAGAAGTTGCTTGTGACTATTGGGGTCAGCATGTGTTAGATTGTTGCCCTTATCATTTGCTGCTGTTGGAATCACCCAGTGTAAAACCTGCCCTCATATTTTATTGCCCAGTCTAACATGACACCACCATTGTGGGTGTGAAAGGGGTGTTTTCATACATGAGTGATAGGATCGAGTCTCAAGTAATCTTATTCCAAAATAAGTGAAATTATAATCTGCAGAAACAGAGATCAAATAGGCAGAATTCTTCTTTCCTGTTACGTAAATTCAGGAAATTTATGTTCACGTGAGTCCCACACACACTTTTTGGTATATTCTGCACCAATTTTTCCCAGTGTGTGGGGCATGCTACCTAGGAGTGTGTATGGACAAGCCTCTTAGTTGTTTTCCAGAATTTTAGTTTTATTGGTTGGTTGGTGTTTTTTTTTTTTTTTTTAAATCTGTAGCTGTTGTGATTGTGGGAAGAATCTCTTTTTGAGCCTGTATTTGCTGCAGAGTTACTGCAGGTCTTGGCCACACGTGATTACCCTTAACTCAGCTGCTGTGGTGCTTTTAACTTGAGTTGATTGGTTGAGGAGGAGAGAATAGGCTAAAACTTGAATGATGGCAACTTGTCAGCTGTTACTCTGTAGGGTGGATGCAAACTGTGTTAACCCCACTGAAGTGCTGCTAGTCCTCCAGTGCCTTCCTCATCTCCCACCCTGTGTCCAGAAAATACCAACAAGAAAGAATTCATAGTGGCCCAATTTACTACAGCACTAAGAACCATGGGATGTGCCCCCAGAAATCTAGTTCCACACACAAATGAGTGCACTGCCAGTGTGGATACAACTCTAATATTGTTTTACATTGTGGCCACTCTCACTCCATCTAGGCTAAGGTCTCATCTTCACTAGGAAAAGGCTTGTTCTGAACTCGCATTAGGTAACACAAGGTAGTTTTTAGTTTTCACGTGAGTTAGCAGGTCAAGGTTCCAATGGGAGAACCTAGGGTTTACTTCAACCAGCTAACTTGTGTGACTACTACAAATTGCTTTGTTTTCACTAGGATTTTACTTTGTGTTAGTTGACATGAGTTAACAATACCCCTTTTCCTACCTCTTTTGCTATGGAATACACACCCAACTTACCATGAGTAACTTGAGCACAGATAATTCAAGTTATCTCTGCTATGAAGACATACCCTACTGGAAGCTAGGCTATTACGTGGCCTGCTAACATGTCTTCAGATGTTAGTCTGCATCTTGTTGAGCGTTGAGGTCTTTTCAGTCATGAGAAGACAACACAATTGAAAACCAGACCTGTTTTCCTTTTCCATGGGGTCGTTTCTTTATGAGCAGATCTTGGATGGTATATCAGTTGATGTGTATTTACCTATGGTAGGTACATAGGTCACAATATCTGAGATCTTTTCAAACATTAATGACTCTCTTCCTCACAGGCCTCATATGAGGTAGGAAAGTTTCATCCATATTTTCTATGTGGAGACTGAGGTACAGAGAGACTGACTTGCCTGAGGTCGCACATGGAGTCTGGGTGACTAAGCTGCAAATTGAAGCCAGATCTCCTGAGTTTTTTATTCAGTCTACTTTCTGAAAACTTATTTCAGTTTTGCAAATGTTTATTTGAAAAGCTTTTTCAACTGAATATAAAAGTGGACAGGGTTAGATTTTTAGATCAAGTATTTTAAAATTGTTTCTCAAATGTAACTGCTTCTGTTAAATCCTTCATGATGACTCTTGGCTCTTTCTCAGATTAGTATAGGAATTAGTATATATAAGAATTCTGCAAAGTTAGTTCCCTGTTTTATTATATATGTGTTTTATACACAAACAGCTTCTCCAATACTAATCAACTAACAAAATCCTTAGGGCTGTGTTTAAAGCCATTGCATGTCATTTTCCATACTTAAACAATGTTAAAGGGTTAAGAAATGAAATGATTTAAATCTAAAATATATGAAACAATTCACATTTTTAGGAGGGAATGAGTTTGCATAGCTTCTAAGTCATGAGGGTAAAGGTGAAGGATTTTACTTTTTAAATAAAGCCAGGAGCTGACCGTAAACTGTTAAATTTTTATACAAGTTTTCTGGTTCACTATTTAAGAATATTTTTTTCTCTAACCCTGGGAGTGTTCATAAATGTGAATTTTTATTCTTGAACTTGTCTCAAATGTGAGACACTTCTTTGTGACTGTAAAGTAATGGTGTCTGAAAATGGGTAGAGGTTTAGAAGACCCAACCTTATGACCATGTGGCCTGCTTCATGGATTTAACATAAATCATGTTACAAAAATTTCACTCTTACCCTAAATCGATTTATTGTGATCCATCCCAATTCTCTTTTAGAAAGTCAAACTGTTGCAGTGCTTTTAAGTTCTTCTTGAAATGTGAGATATGCCCACAATAGGTATCTCTATAATTGCGCTGTTTTTCACAAGAATTTCTTTTGAATGTTATCGGGGTGAGAATTTGTGGGGGATGGAAGATAGGAGTGGGGACTTCTAAATCCCATGCCCAACCTTAAAAACGTTTAAAATTGAAACTACTACCCAGAAAACCTTAATAAAGCTGTTACTGACCCTGACCCAAACAGTTAATGTTGGGTAACAAGTGAGTCAAACATGCTCTAAGATAAGGAAGAATTAGGTTTAGTAATGGAAACGGTTTCTAGCTTTAGAATATTCTACTTTAGTATAGCTTCTTTGGGGAAATAATGTGTGAACTGCATTATTCATTGTTGAAAACTTGCCTGATTTTAGTGTTTTTTCTTAAAGCTCCAGCTTCCAGAGCCTTACCACTGCATGGGAATCGCGGCTTTCATTTTTTGAAAAGGTAAATTCTTAGCTCACATAACTTCTAAGAAAACCTGGACAAGGTGAATCCTAAAGCTTTAAAAAACCAAAACAAAACAGAAGGCAAATCGAAACAATTCTAAGTCTGTTTTCAGAATCTCATGGATTTTTAAGACAAAAAAAAAAAAAAGATTTTAATTTCGATTCAGCAAAGCTCTAATACTGTGATGATAATCCTGGGTCGGCATAGGGACATACTAGATGACCTAATAAGCTCTTAATTATATAATTTATGTAACTTCTGTAATTAAAGTACAATGTTAGTATTGTGCCAGATGCTTTGACTAGTGACTCAAAGAATATAGTTTTGTTCTTAATTTATGAATGGGGTAACTGCTTCTTTTGCTTTATGTTGGGAAATAAAGCAAATTAATACTCTCAATTTTTTTCTTTAAAAATCATCCTGGTTCCTTTAAAAATGTTTTCAAAGTAAAGATGACCAAAAACAGATAGAATGCTTGTTCATGCCTTGTCAGCATAACATCATGAATCAGCAACTCGTAACTACTGCAAGCATTCATCTGAAACATAACTCTGTATCCATAAAAGGAGAGAGAGTTGGGGGAAGGGGCATAGATATAAAACTGTTATTTAAAATCTATTGTTAACTTCTTGTTGAACTGCCAAGTAGCCACACTGGCTGTCTTAACGGTAGTAAATATCTTAGTTCTTTTCATCTATAGATTTCAAAGCCTTTTTTTTTTTTTTTTTTTTTTTATTATTTTATTTTTTTAAATTTTTTTTTTTTTTTTTTTTTAAAGAAAAGTATAAGTATCATCCCTATTTTGCAGATGAGGAAATGGAGGGAGGTACAGTGACTTTTTTAAGGTTGAATAGCAACTCAATGTCTGAGTCAAGAATGGAACCCAGATTTCTTGTCTCCCAATCTATTGCCCTATCTGATGATCACATTGTCCTTTAAGTGTTTAAGAACTTAAAACTTTGTCAAGGTACAAACATTAGTTACATGCAGAGTGATGCAGGCCACCTTTGTCTGTATTAGTAGCTACTAATGGCTACAAGTCCAACACTCTGTCTATCCAAGTGATAAATGACAGCCTCACTGTCTTTGTGGCACAGTGGACAACTGAAACTGCTTCAAGACCTCTAAATCAGATCAGATTGCAGTTACTAGAGAGCAACAGAGAGTCCTGTGGCACCTTTAAGGCTATGTCTACACTACAAAATTAGGTCGGATTTATAGAAGCCGGTTTTATAGAAACCGGTTGTATGCAGCCGATTGTGTGTGTCCCCACCTAAAATGCTCTAAGTGCATGAAGTCGGCGGACCGCGTCCACAGTACCGAGGCTAGCGTCGACTTCCGGCGCATTGCACTATGGTACCTATCCCACAGTTCCCGGAGTCTCCGGCGCCCATTGGAATTATGGGTTGAGATCGCAATGCCCAGATGATGCAAAGCAGTGCCGCGAGGGGTTCTGGGTACATTGCGTCAGGCCCCTCCCCCGCCGTCACAGCAACGGCAGACAATAGATTCGCGCCTTTTTACCTGGGTTACCTGTGCAGACAACATACCACGCCAAGCATTGAGCCCGCTCAGCTCAGCTTACCGTCACCATATCTCTTCCGGGTGCCGGCAAACGTGGGACTGCATTGCTAAACAGCAGCAGCAGCTTACTGCCTTTTGGCGGTAGACGGTGCAGCATGACTGGTAGCCTT